TTGTTTCTAAGCTTAACCATTCAACTGCTGTTTCAAGAGTTGGTCTCTGAAAAAATTATTTTTAATAACAAAAAATTGATTTTTTTCATTTGAGGTACTTTGTGTAGCATAGAGAGTACACCCAATACCAGGGTACTGCCTATAAGGGCAGCTATTGTCCTGTGCACCAACTAATGACAAGGAGAGAAAGATAAAATTTAATAGAGAGAAAGAGAAAAGAAAAGGATTAGGTTAATAGTAGGAGAGGTGTATACCAAATTATGATATAATGCATGTACATAAAGGTGGGAAATTGAGAGAAAAATAAAATAGAGAGAAAGGAGAAGTAATGAAATTAGAATAATAGTAGACATTATAAGTGTAGAGAGGAGAGATAGAGATGAAAGCAAGAGGTGGGAGAGGTAAAGCACTTACATCAAACACTATCATTATGTAAACTACCACCAGTATCAATCCAGCAAGCACAATCTATTCACATTACAAATGAAAGAAAAACTTAACACCATATAAGGATTTGCGACTATTAAATTACACAAGCACATGACACTCATAAAAATCATACTCCCTCCCTCCCTCCTCTCTTCCTCTTGTATTGATAGCTTACTTGTAATGTCTCGCTTAGTATCTCTCCCATGATTGCAAATTCAAAATGAACATCTACATCTTCAGAGACTAGAAACCTTACAGTAACTGGATCAGTCCTGGTAACAATAAAAATATGATTATTAAATGCTAATAATAATTTTGATAATAATATTATAGAGCATTATCATTATTATAATAACAATGACAGATAAAAAAACATTAATAAGAATAGTATATATATATCACTGTCAAGTGTATTGATGAATAACATACGTTTTTACTGGTATTATACGAGTTATAAGCTCCTCATCACTATGCTCTCCTGATTGTAGTTTCTCCTTGTCTTTAAGGAGTTGTACACTAGCACAGTTTGCATCCTCACTGTTTAACAACTGGTAAATGCATTAAGTGTGGTTGTGCAATTGAGGAAAGAGTGCAGGGAGAATGGAGAGAAGGAACAAAATAGTTATATGCGATAAAGATTAAATTAAATAACAATAAAGACATTAAAATGCTTAATAATAAGTATTATATTTGTCCTTACTTCACATGCATTGCCATATATTGTATTATTATCGTTATTCTCTTCAACACATATCACCATGAATGTCGAACAGTCTGTGGGATCACCATGTTCCTGGTCTGCAGCAAAAGTATTAGGGCCAGTCTTGTTACCATAATATTCCATATCTATATTGTGATGATGATAAAGAATGAGAAGGAGGAGTAGATATAAAGAGATGTAGATCATAATTACTTACCATAGAAAGGACCCCTCATGTGTAATTTGATATGATACCATTTATCTTTCTCGTGATCAACAGACACATAGCCTATTAGCACAATGTGAGTTAAAGAAAACACAGACAACTGACTCAATTCACATATTAGGATCAGAAGTACTATAAGAAGTACAGAAGTACTTTATAGTGCTGCAATAATGCATGCATGAACATGTAACAGTTTATTGCAAATAAGAGGAATTGTTTGCATAAATTGCTAGTACACATCACATGCTTTTATGGCCCAATATTAACATGCACACACATACAATAACTAATATCATTGTGTTATACTAGATTGCATCAGTTGTATTGTTAAGCTGCACCCTAGTGTGTCTGTGTGACTGTTATGAATACTAGTTGATATAGAATGCATCATGTGATAAGGTCAAATGAGGCCGAATGAGGCGTATTCATATATGAGTATGACTCCCCTTGCAAAGCTGTTCAGTTACAATCCATAATAATAGAAGACAGTGAGAATCATAGATTGGACTAGGTTTATTGCAGCTAAACTACATCATCTACTTTAGTTTCAATGGACAGCTGCTGCTACAAATCATAATACAAGTCTAGCAACTAATTATGAAGTGTTTTAGTACAAGTTGAAGTACAAGCTTCACACTTAATGTACAAGGAGAGAATGATGCACAGAGAAACACTATTGCTAGATATAGAGTAGAGGGAAAAGAGAGGATGAGGGTGGTATTTAAGGATACTGTATGGTTTGTTGCTGCTGACTGAAGTTAGCACGTAATGTTCTTCTAGCTCATCTCTGATTGAAAAGAAAATCTAAACAGGAATAGATAGTAAGGATAAAAACATAGATGTGATAGTTATGAATGTGTCAGTTGTAATTATGATTTCATGCATTAGTAGCTAGAAACAAGCTCTCTAAATTATTCAGTGGAATATATATCAAGGGGCTTACAATAGCTAGTAATAGTAATACTGCTAGTGCAGTGATTCTCGTTGCACTAATTCCCTTTTTAATTTTCTCTTTCCTCCTTTGTCTTGTTTCCTTGGCAGTTGGTGAGATCAGGTCTCTCTCACTGTACTCGCTATCATCCTCCCTTTCCATGACCCTGTAAGACAATCCTTCCCCATTATCAATGCGATTATCAAAGTGATGGCTGGCAATAAAACCTCTTCTATTATCTCTGTCTTCTTGGGACTCTCTCAGGCTCTGCAAAAAAGAGCAAGCAAACAATGAGTAAACATAAATATAATAAACAAAAATGAATAAACAAAATAATAAATAGCTGGTGTTCTAGGCCTACCCTTGATGCTGTAAAGCCAGGCCTTGGAGAGCGGCTGTATCTAGCGCTGGGCAGCTCGCTGTCAGAGAGGTATCGCTCGTAATCTGGAGGTGGTGTTTCTATGAGCCTGCTCTGGCGACCTGCCGTCTCCCCATCGGAGAAGCAAGTGCTCTCGTTCCTTTTGCGAGGCGGGGAGATCTTGTTAGGGCTGGCACTGCGACTTAGGAGCATTTCAATGTCAGCCATTTCGTGTCAGTGTTTTCTTTGCACCCCAGGAATAAGGGCGTGGCTAATTAGAGTGATTATTTAACGCCCACGCAAAAGTAAAAAGGGCGTGGGCCTGACAAAATGTCCCTCCCTAAACGACACGTCAAATAGAGACACGGCACATATCGTGAGGTGGTATCTGTTGCCTTGCTGCAAGTACTAAAAGGAGAGCAGAGAAGACAAAGAGACACCAGGGGAGGAGAAAGAAATCATGGACGTTGACCTGTGAGCTTCCTAAAGTGGTGTTAAGTGACCCGTAAAAGAGAAACAAAGATTTGTAAAAACAAATTAAAATAACTATGGGGCAAGTCTCCTCGTGCCATTCCTGTAACGACAGGGAGGTCTCCTCGCGGTCTCAGAAGAGGGACAGTTTCCCTGATCTGGCTCAGCTCCCTCCCGAGGTTGCTGTGGAGGTTCTCTCACATTTAGATGCAACCGATCTTTGTCTTGCATCGTGTGTTAATGACCTTTGGTGTAGCCTAACCAATGTTGATGTCCTATGGAAGAGGTGAGGGAGAGACCATTAGAACAAGGGCTATTACAGTACTGTAGTATCTCTTAAACTTAGTCACTCTATATATAGAACACAGACACTTCCATTTAATGGACAGTATCTAGTGTACCAATTACATTCCTTACTGTATAAAATAACCTCCACATAAAGGACACCTCTGTATAACAAACTTTCTGGCACCAAAGTGTCTGTTAATAATAATTGCAACCGATAAAAATAAGGTGCACTCATGCTGTAGTTTTTTTTAATTGTTAAATAGCATAGTTATGAAAATATTTGTATTGATCCATGATTACCATGTTGATTAGTAGAGAATACATGTACATTTGAAGTGTATATATAAAAATTGGCAGCCTCAAGCGATAGGTCACATAGTTTAATTTGGCACATACCAACTCAAATAAAATTTAACAGGCAATACATTACAAAAGTGATAAATTTTTCAACTGCCTATTACCTGTAATTATTTTTAATACCGTATGGAAGAAAATTTTGGAGGTAGTTAAATTTGGCAAATTTGGCGTTTTGATAGCCATTCGCCAAAACAAAAATTTGCCATTTTGAGCCATTATACGCATGCTCAATAGCACGTGGCCACAAATTCGTCAAATTAAAATTCGCCAATCACCAAAATTTAGCAATTCGCCAAAATTTAGTCCCTCCAAAATTTCCTTCTGTACGGTAATTTATTACTAGGCTCTGTTATAGAAGATGGGAACAAGTTTCAGCTTACTACAATGGCTATATGGTAATTAAACTAATTATAATGGCACTTTGATCATCCTAATTGATTTTCTTTCTCTTTTCCCTCTCTTCTCTTCTCTACATTTTTGTCCAAAGGATGCCCATACCTACAAATCTCTCTATTTAACACTTGACAATGGAATGCTCACTTTCTCATCCGATCCACACGAGGTAATGTTGACAAGGGGTCCTGGAATTTACTTCAGTCCCCGAACCCTCCCATAGGGTCTGAGATATTTGATACAGGAGGGGGTCCTGAATGATGATTCCGAGTCCATTGCAGCTTTTATACATTACAGTGATATTATATCATGGCCTAGTTTGGAGAAATATTTAAGAGAAAGGTAAGGGCGTGGCTAAATTATAATTTTTGATTTTGTCATACGACTTCAGGTGGGACGTGTTAGAAAAAATAGTTTCACTTCATAATTACGAGAATCATTTTCTGCCTGATGCTTTAAGGTATTGTCACTTATTAATGTTATTATTGTTGTTGTTATTATCACCACTACTGTCATAAAGTGTCATTATTATTATTATAAACAGACACGACAAATGTAAAAATAAAATAAAATAGGTCAAGTTATTTCATATAGCTTTATTGATAATACCTTAAGGTTACTTTTAAATGCGGGTACTATTAATTGCGAATTTTGCGTTTGGGTTAAAAATTACAATTATTAATATGCGCAATTGTTAATAATGACATCATGATGCCATATAACTATTAGTAATAATTACTTAATCGCAATTTTTAATACCAGCAAAATCTACCTTGTGCTAAAATCGCAAAAATTTAGTACCCGCAATTAAAAGTCACTCTAAGGTAATTATTCTTAATAATAATAATTAATAATAATGATAATAATAAATAGAAACATTAATATACACACACATGTACGTGTGTACATAATATTTCTCTCTCAGGTACTTATTTTCAAAGATACCAGCTCCGAAAGAAAGAGGGCCATTTCTTGACAGACTTTTAGATCTTTTCCTTATACAGTACAAATCATGCAATGTTGGACTGTCGTATTCCACAGGTAGAGCAAACGAGAGAGAGAAAGAGAGGAAGGGAAGAGAGAGAGCACACAGAGCTTCAATGATGCATGTGATACAGCATAACCTTATACTGTATAGAAGGAAATTTTGGATGGAGTTAAATTTGGTGAATTGCTATACCATATAGCAGGTATATTCCGTTCGAGTTTAATTTCGTTCTTTTTGTTCTCATTCCTTGTGGAACGAACATTTTATTTTCCAAATGAAAAGGGCGTTTCCTCAATGCCATGTGTGCAAAATGGCTGCTCAGAACGAAAATAAAACAAACGAAAATTTCTAATTCTGCTTAGAATGAACATTTTTCCAGACGAAATATACCCGCTATACAGTATTTGCTAGGCATAGATGAAAACAGACTGTACTACATGTATATTGATTGATGAGGTTTCGATAATAATTATTATTATTTAGAAAAGTTACATGAAAAAAAGAAGCAGCAAAAACTATGAAAAAAAGGCCTAACAAAAATATCCTAACAAAAATAGTCCTAACAAAAAGTCCTATTATTATTGCTTCTTCATGCACTTATTATATTAAGCCAGTTCATTGCTTTTTGCAAATATCAATGGGCAATTTACTAGAGAGATCTTCGAATGGACATTTTCCTTTGTTATTGACACCAAACCCACTGCATCCTTCTCCATCAGTCAAGGGTATGTAAGGGAGGCTCGGAGCACCTCTATCATGCTTTGGCTTGGTACAGCTCTTTGGTGGCCACCACTGGTAGCAGTATAGGCCCATGTCAGTGTACTCCTCTCCACAGAAATGGCTGCAATGTCCCCAACAAACGCTGCCAAGTCCGGTATAGTGCTCTTCGCATTCAGGATAGCAGAGACCAGCTTCATATTCCCAATCTGAAGGGCATCCATCCCCTGCACATGCGTTTGGTCCTATGCGTATTGGGAAAGTTTCATTAGCAAGAAGTGAACATTTCTTATAGCAATGATCAGCAAACAGCTCCTCGTCATCAGCACATCCAAAAGTATATCTAAAAATTGTTGTTCCACATGCAGCTGTAACTACAAATGGAATGAAACAGTACAAACTCTAGTTGCAAAAGTCTTACTATCAACACAGCCTAACTTATTTCCCTTATAGTAGACACAAATTTTTTCTCCTTCAATTTTGACTTCTATATCTTTTGTACCACCTTTAAATTGTAAGGATGGATTTTTAATTCAATAGAAACAAGAATACCTTCTTGTAAAAGTGATGTCCCTTCTTCTGGTGGTGAAGCCTCATTATTCATGTTTGTTACTTTGTTCCTGTTGCTAAGGTCACATGAATAATGTACAATAGTATACACACAATACATTATACCTGTAATGATCACTGTGGTAAGACTTTGTGCCTATCATAGAAATAACATACAATGAACATACATTAACACATACAGCTATTGACATACTTGGCAAAGCCAGAGCACAAACACTGAGAGTCATAAAGAAGAATACAAGAGTCTTCATCGTGATTTTCCCTTACTTGTAACTTGTTCACTGCATCAAAAAGCACCTCTTTATATAGCCTGCTGAACATGAGGCATGCATCATGCAGCTCTTGTTACAAGCACGTGTCAAAAATGCCTTACACACGTGTGCCTGGTCTTATTTACAACTAAGTACACCTAATAGTACATAATAGTAAGCTACCCAAAATATTGGTATTAGACATTGTGGCTCTCGTGAAACATGTTTGCCCTGGGTCCATACTATTATTTACAACTTCTAGTGCATCACAATGCCCCATTGTACTTTTCTTTCCTCATTCATTGAATCAATCATCAACTTGCAAAGCATGGATTATACGTAATGTAATGCATAATTTCATTCATTAAAGTTTTTATGTATGACAACAAGAAGCATAACTATAATATTCCTATATGCTTCTTAATGCACTTATTATATTAGATCAGTTCATTGCTTGTTGCATTCAAGATTACCAGAGATGTCAATCTTTGCACATCCTCCTTGATTATTTTTACCAAACCCATTCCATCCCAATCCATTGGTCCAGAGTTGGTAAGGTATAGGGTACTAGCACCTCTATCATACCTTGGCTTGTAACAGCTCTTTGGTGGCTACCACTGGTAGCAGTATAGGCCCATGTCATCATACTCCACAGAATTAGCTGCAATATCACAAGCAACAGTGGCAACTCTGATGTAGTAATCTTTGCATTTATGATAGCAGAGACCATCATATCTTCATCTTCATCACATCCATCCTTTGACCATGTGTGTATTGCTGTGCGTAATGGAAATCTGCACTAGCAAGAAGTGAACATTTCTTATAGCATAATCCAAGATAGTTCTCCTCATTATCAGCACAACCAATAGTTACTGGACCATCCTTTTTTCCTCATGCTTTGTGAAGTAGAAAATAAATCAATTTACAATATGCAGTACCCTTTACTATCAACACAGCCAAGCTTGACTAGTGAGTAGTAGACACAAATTTCAATATTGTATGACAACAAGAAGCATAGTAATAAAAATTCCTATACTGCTTCTTTGTACACTTGGACACTCTGTAACAGACACCTTTATTTTACGTACAGTACCTAATGTACCAATTACATTACATACATATAAAGGACACCTCTGTATAATACAACAGTCTAACTTCTGTGTCCCATTATATCAGAGGCACCACTGCATACTTATTTATTTCTCCCTCCAGATACTCTGAAGGTTTTGTGTTATTCTCTGATACTCCTCAGCGTGGATCTGACCAGTCCCCACGTCAAGAACAAAATGTCAAAGAGAGAGTTCATACGTAACCTCCGTCCCACCGTAACAGGTATATCGGACGACACACTTGGACACATGTACGATAACATTTATCTCAGTGGGCACGTGGCAACACAGGATGACACAGGCTCTCCAGTGAGGTAGCAGCTGCTTTTTAACTCAAAATTTTGTTTTTATCATCATGGATCATTTTCGCTTTATGTTTAGTACTTGACATCATTATAGGATAAATTATTTTAATGAAAAAATATTGTAATTATCACAAATTATATTATATTTTATGTATATGTGTGTATATTATTATTAGTCAATTGTGCTATATATATTAGTACTAATAATACTATTTCTTAACAAGTCGCATGATAAATATTATAACAATTATTATTTTTACTCAAGAGATTTATTATTAATTGTATATTATTATTATTATTATTACAAAGAAATACATTATATTACAGATCAATAATAATAATAATATTAATTAATAATAATGAGATGAGAGACAGAGAGAGGGGGGGGGAGAAATGGGAGCATATGTTCAATGGTTTTGCTGTGTCACTGATTGGAGATGAATCAACAGACATTAATCCTAAGGACTAATAGAAAAAGATTCTAATTTATGCCACACCTTAAATACTATAAGTACTAAATGTCCATGCAGCATAAGCAGGTGTATCAAAAATGTAATGTAAAAAGAGAATTCTCTCTTAGCCATTTTGATAAAATACACTGTACTATAGTACAGGCAATTTTTGAGCAACTTTAAAAATTAATTATATGTGTGGGACTCTAAATCTTTCTTGTTGGTGAGTTATAGCTATTTGAATTTCATCCTGAGTATTTGTGCCATTATAAAATCATAATCATAGTATGTCATAATTGATAAAGTAAATGTACCCGACCCAGAAACTTTTTGAAGCAAATGTAATAGAAAAAGGAAAGTTTCCTAGCAATTCATCATGTGTATTTGGAAACATAGATAATAGAGTAAATATCTATATTGGAAACCTAAAACTTATTAGCTTTAATGACACACCTATAACACAAACATAAATCAATTATAGGAATGACCTGGGAGCTTTGCCTCCCAGGTCGTTAAAAATTGAAGGTCAACAGTTTCATTGTTTTATGAATATACAAGACTGTTTCTTGTATGTTTTTAAAAAATTGCTCAAAATAGAGTTGCTGACTATTTTATCTAATTTGGTAATAAAGTCATGCATAAACAAACATTGCAAGGGAAAGCTAAACCTTGTGCTTGTTATAGGCATAGATCACTTGGCATAAATAAAAACAGACTGTACTATATTGATTGATGAGATTTCGATAATAATTATTTAGAAAAGTTGCATGAAAAAATAAGCAGCAAAACTATCAAAAAAAAGGCCTAACAAAAAATATCCTAACAAAAAGTCCTATTATTATTGCTTGTTCATGCACTTATTATATTAAGCCAGTTCACTACTTGTTGCATCCAAGATCAACGGGCGATTTACTAGAGACATCTTCCAATGGACATTTTCCTTCGTTATTCACACCAAACCCGTTGCATTGCAATCCATTGGTCCAGGGTTGGTAAGGGAGGCTCCCAACACCTCTACCATACGATGGCTTGGAACAGGCATGCGGTGGCCACCACCGGTAGCAGTATAGGCCCATGTCAGTGTAATCTTTTCCACAGAATTTGCTGCAGTATCCCCAACAAACGGTGGCAACTCCGATGTAGTATTCTTTGCATTTAGGATAGCAGAGACCAGCATCATATTCCTGACTTGAAGTGCATCCATTCCTTGCGCATGTGTTTGGTCCTGTGCGTAATGGGAAATCTTTATTAGCAAGAAGTGAACATTTTTTGAAGCACATTCCCAGTAACAGCTCCTCATCATCAGCACAACCAAGAGTAAACCATTGCATTTTAAATCCACATGCATTGCTAACTACAAATGGAATCAAGCAGTAAAAACTCTAGCTGCAAAAGTCTTACGATTAGTACAGCCAAACAGGGTTATCTCATAGTAAACACAAATTTTGTTTCCATGAACTGTGACTGTGACATCTCTTATACCACCTTTAAATTGTAAGGATGGATTTTTAATTCAATAGAAACAAAAATACTTTTATGTACAAGCGATCTCTCTTCTGGTGGTGAAGTCTCATTATTCATGTTTGTTACTTTGTTCCTGTTGCTAAGGTCACATGAATAATGTACAATAGTATACACACAATACATTATACCTGTAATGATCACGATTGTAAGACTTTGTGCCTATCATAGAAATAACATACAATGAACATACATTAACACATACACCTATTGACATACTTGGCATAGCTAGAGCACAAACACTGAGAGTCATAAAGAAGAATACAAGAATCTTCATTGTAATTTTCTCTTATAGTTGTAGCTTGCTCACTGCATCAAGAAGCACCTCTTTATATAGCCTGCTGAACATGAGGCATGCATCATGCAGCTCTTGTTACAAGCACGTGTCAAAAATGCCTCAATGTTTGACATGTGTGCCTGGTATTATTTACAACTAAGTACACCTAATAGTACATAATAGTAAGCTACCCGAAATATTGGTATTAGACATTGTGGCTCTCGTGAAACATGTTTGCCCTGGCTGCATACTATTATTTACAACTCCTAGTGCATCGCAATAGACTACTGACCCAACACAATGCCCCCATTGTACTTTTTTTTGTTACATTCTTCCTCATTCATTGAATCGATCATCAACTTGCAAAGCATAGATTATGTGGCATAAATAGAAACGTACTGTATAATTTCATTGATTAAAGTTTATTAGAGGCACCATTGTAGGCATATTTTTCTCTCTCTCCAGATACTCTGAAGGTTTTGTGTTACTCTCTCATACTCCTCAGTGTGGATCTGACCAGTCCCCACGTCAAGAACAAAATGTCAAAGAGAGAGTTCATACGTAACCTCCGTCCCACCGTAACAGGTATATCGGATGACACACTTGGACACATGTATGATAACATTTATCTCAGTGGGCACGTAGCAACACAGGATGACACAGGCTCTCCGGCAAGGTAGCAGCTGCATGGTTTTAACTCAAAATTATTCTTTGTTTTTATCATCATGGATCATTTTTGCCTTATGTTTAGTACTTGACTTGACATCATTATAGGATAAATTATTTTAATGAAAAATAATTGTAATCATCACAAATTATATTATATTTTATGTGTATGTGTGTGTATATTATTATTAGTCAATTGTGCTACATGTATTAGTACTAATCGCATAATAAATATTATAACAATTATTATTTTTACTTGAGAGATTTATTATTATAATTATATATTATTATTATTATTATTACAAAGAAAATACATTATATATTACAGATCTATAATAAATAATAATAATAATAACAATAATAATAATAATGAGATGAGAGACAGAGAGAGAGAGGGGGGGGAGAGAGATGGGATCATATGTTCAATGGTTTTGCTGTCTCACTGATTGGAGACGAATCAACAGACATTAATCCTAAGGACTAGAGAAAAAGAAAGATTCTAATTTATGCCACACCTTAAATACTATAAGTGAAATGTCCATGCAACATAAGCACATAAATCAAAAATGTAGCATAAAAGAAAAATTTTGGACCAATTTTTGAGTAACCTTAAAAATTATTCATAAAAAATCCAAATTTGATCAAAATGATCTCAAACTTTTTACACAACATAAGAACATGTATATGTTTCAGAAACACTTATAAAAAAGAAATTCTCTCCTTTACAATTTTGGTGAAATTTGGCCAAAGTCCCTTTTGCTTCAATTTTTGAGTTACATGTACTTTAAAATTTATATAAAAATCAAAATTAATTTTGATCTGATAAAAAATTGAGCAATCCTCCCCTAGCTGACAAACCTCTTTTGAATCAACGTAACAGTAACTGTGATACAATACTCCATCTCCTGTACGAAGTGCATCTTTAAAGTGCCACTCCTCTTCATCTTCCTCCCAGAACTGCTCCAACTGCTCATGACATACACCACACACCTTAGAGAGAGGGAGAGAGAGGGGGGAGGGAGAGAGAGAGGGGGGAGAGAGAGAGAGGGGGGAGGGAGGGAGAGGGAGGGAGAGAGAGAGGGGGGAGAGGAGGGAGAGAGAGAGGGGGGGGAGGGAGGGAGGGAGAGAGAGGGGGGAGAAGATGAGAAATATGTTTTAAAAATAAAGCATAAATATGGCAATCACTGTACATGTACATGTACACATGTACAAAAAAGGTAGAATTTAGTAAAAGGGTATACTTACTTGAGTATCTTCCCCTGGAAGAACTTGACAGCTTATACCAGCAGATTTGTTTTCATCTCTACCAACAGAATCCTCTTTACTTTCTTGTTCCATTGATAATAATGGCTCTGAGAGAGAGAGAGAGAGAGAGTAATGTACATGTACATATCTATAAACAGTAGTTGATACCTACCATTCTGATTGATAAGTGATGATCCATCAAAAGTGATCCAATCCTAAAAACAAAACACATGATACTAAAAGTGT